ACTGTTCCTCTCCAACATGGCGAACGGAGAAAGCAGCAGTCGCAGTCGCACTTTTTTTCATTTATTTATTTATTTGACCATAGCCTCACTCTTTTTATCCATTATTTTGCCGCAGCTCATTCAGGATGAACTCGCAAGTTTTAAACATTCAAAACTTTTTGTACACTCCTATACATTTACAAATGGTGTTTTGCATTTATGAAACGTATTTTATGAAAATGTATTTTTATTTTGAGCACGTGAAAGTTTTTTGTGAATATAAATAAATATTTTACGCACGTGAATTTGGTTTTATGCTCGTGAATTTGGCTACGCATGTGTACATCATGTCTTTTGCATGAATTACTTTTGAGTCTTATCTGTCTCCATAGAGTTTCTTTCCTCTGGTGAACACAAAAGAAGATAGTTTGAAGAATGTTGGAAACTGGTCACCATAGACAACCATAGTTGGGAAAAAATACTAAAAAAGTGGCTACTGGTTTCTAGTTAAAGTAACAATTCACATCATTCGCTACTGATTTATTATTAACAGAACTAAATATTTAAAAGCAGAGTGAGTTAAATGATGAGTACATTTTCATTTTATATGCATTATAGTGTTTCAGCGTGGGCAACACTGAGGACTGTTTTGCGTCAGGTTTGTCGTCTTCTCTGGAGGCCGTATTGATCCATAGCATCTTCCATTTCCATCATCAAAACACAGGGTTTGTTTATCAGCGGCTGAAACACACTTCTACAATAAACTATCGATCGTGCAGAGCATAAGACAGCAGCTCCACATACAACAAACCACAGTGACCTTGAGCTCTCAGAGAGAAAGAAAAGAAGCGTACTGATGGACCTGTAGATCATCAAGAGGAAAACAACACAGCTCCATTATTAAAGCGTTAGTTCACCCAAATATGTGAATTATGTCATTGTTTACTTCCATATACTTTACATCCTTCATTTGCTCCAAATCTGTTTTTTTTCTTCTCTGCATGTTTTGGAAGTCAATATCATGTTAGGGATAAAGTCTATTTAGAAGGTTGTTGTCACAGAATAAAGCCTGAAAGGTTTATTGGCAGCCTGACACTGTCATATGAAGGCTGAAGGGCTTTATACGGCAAGACAACTGTACATGATTTACTTTATCCCACTTAATACATGGCTGCATGCCACAAAACATAAAAATTAAACGCAAAACATGGTTTTGAACCATAATAGCTTATTAATTCTTTAACTAATTACATAGCTGACAGAAATGAAAAACAGCTGATGGAGTATACAATAACCTGATCATTATTCAGACACAAGATGGCGCCAAACAGTCAAAAACCCAAACCTGACAGAAACTAAAGCCCCATACAAACAGGGCTTCAGCGTCAACGCTTGACTGAAGGCGTGTCTGAAGTTGGGGTTGAAGCGATCGTTGTAGACACGTAAGCCAATGAAATTTAGTTAACAATAGGCCACTGTCTAGCTGGTGTATTTGCATACAGCAATCTGATTGGCTCACGCTTCCGTCAGCGATTGAAAAGTTGAGCTAGTCCCAACTTCTGCAGCGAGCAACACTTCTGAAGCGGCGCCGACGGATCCACAATGCAGTTCTGCAACGCCTGACGTCACCCATTCAAAGTGAATATGAAGAGTTGACGCTGACGCCCCGTATTAATGGGGGGTAAAACAGCTGATGGAGTATACACTTACCTGCGCATTATTCAGTCACAAGATGGTGGCAAACAGTCAAAAATCCAAAGCTGACAGAAACTAAAACTGCTGATGGAGTATACACTAACCTGATTATTATTTAGACACAAGATGGTGCCAAACATTCAAAAACACAAAGCTGACAGACACTAAAACAGCTGATGGAGTATACACTAACCTGCACATTATACAGTCACAAGATGGTGGCAAACTGTTAAAAACACAAAGCTGACAGACACTAAAACAGCTGATGGAGTATACACTAACCTGATTATTATTTAGACACAAGATGGTGCCAAACATTCAAAAACACAAAGCTGACAGACACTAAAACAGCTGATGGAGTATACACTAACCTGCACATTATACAGTCACAAGATGGTGGCAAACTGTTAAAAACACAAAGCTGACAGACACTAAAACAGCTGATGGAGTATACACTAACCTGATTATTATTTAGACACAAGATGGTGCCAAACATTCAAAAACACAAAGCTGACAGACACTAAAACAGCTGATGGAGTATACACTAACCTGCACATTATACAGTCACAAGATGGTGGCAAACTGTTAAAAACACAAAGCTGACAGACACTAAAACAGCTGATGGAGTATACACTAACCTGATTATTATTTAGACACAAGATGGTGCCAAACATTTAAAAACACAAAGCTGACAGGAATTAAAACAGTTGAATGGAGTATACACTAACCTGCACATTATTCAGACACAAGATGGCACCAAACTGTTAAAAACACAAAGCTGACAGAAACTAAAACAGCTGATGGAGAAACGGAGAAACATATGAATCTTGATGTAAGTATATGGATGTAAACGTATTCACTGATGGTCAAAATGATTCTTAGAGATCAGTCTGAGTTATTCAGCGCTTGTTGTCTGGGAATAACATACATTGGAATGTCACGACTGACCAATCCCACTTAAGTATTCCAGAGAGTCGTGTAATAAGTCAACAATTCTTTTCGATGAAATATGGCTTTTTTATTAGAAGTGACTTATCTGTGCACACTATTATTATAGTTTTTTTCATGCACCCTTATAATCTGTTATCTTAAAGCAATCAATGTAATCTGCTGATGGGGTGAGCATAATAATCTTGTTTTTTTCAGTTTGATTTAGATTTAACTTTTAATTTAGCTTATTTTAGGGGAAACTCAGTTAAATTTGACTTACTATTTCTGAAAATTAAACAATATATTCTCCTCTTCTACAAAATTGCTTCTTAATCCAAGAAATTTGTAGACATTTGGACTAGAAACAAGACAAGACAACTCTATGTAATAAAAGGGGACTACTTTTTTAACGTTTTTCTCCATTTATAACCTGACCTGTATTTGTTTATGAGGACAAAACTAAGCCTTTTCATTTCTGGATGTTCAATTTATGTAATTCCTCTCGCAGAAACATTGCAATTTCTAAGAAATAGCCATCCGTGAGCTGAAAGCATGAGTCAGTACATGAGCGGATGTGCTAACAGCCTTTGGAGAATGGATTTATCTGCGTCTAATGCAACAACAAAGCAAATTCTCCCTGTTAATATAATCGTGCCATCTGGCCAATATTAAACACATGACATCCCAGCTCATCCAGAGCAATAAAATGCTTAACTTCATGATGTTCCTTCTGTCCGCACAACAGTCCTCTCAATTGTAGCGCATGCATGAGGAAGGCCAAAGTATTAATCACTCGATTAGGGAATTAAAATTAACAACCAACGGCATTTGCAACCCTGTGTTAATCCATAACATGGTGTATTTCTTAAGGGAAATGCGTTGAACTGTGCATCACATCTGATTTCCACAATGTGATGCATTTAAATAAAATGGGACATTAAAAAAGCAGATAATGTAATGTAATAAATGCAATATAATGTACCATAATATAATATAATATAATATAATATAATATGATATAATATAATGTACTATAACATAATGTAATGTAATGTAATATTTTATATTCTAATATAAAAATGTAATATAAAGTAATATAATATAACATAACGTACAATAACACAATATAATATAACATAATATAATGTACTATATTATAAAGTATAATAAAATATAATGTATTATAATATAATGTACTATAATATACTATAATATGATATAATCTAATGTAATATAATGTAATATAATATTAATAATATAATATAATATAACATAATATAATGTACTATAATATAATATAATATAATATAATATAATATAATATAATATAATATAATATAATATAATATAATATAATATAATATAATGTACTATAATATAATATAATATAATATAATATAATATAATATAATATAATATAATATAATATAATATAATATAATATAATATAATGTACTATAATATAATATAATATAATATAATATAATATAATATAACATAATATAATGTACTATAATATAATATAATATTAATAATATAATATAATGTACTATAATATAATATAATATAATATATTATAATGCAACATAATATAATATAATATAAATAATATAATATAACATAATGTACTATATTATAATATAATATAATATATTATAATGCAACATAATATAATATAATATAATATAATATAATATAATATAATATAATATAATATAATACAATGTACTATAATATAATATAATATAACATAACATATAATAATACAATATAATGTAATATAATATAATGTACTACAATATTACATAATATGATATAATATAATGTAATATAATATAATATAAATATTATAATAAAATTTATAAAATTGATAATAAAATTATTAGTATAATATATTAAAATATAATGTACTATAATACAATATAATGTAATATAATATACTATACTATGATATAATATAATGTAATGTAATGTATTATAAGATATAATTTAATATAATTTAATATAATATAATATAAAGTGTGATAATATAACATAATGTACTATAATATAATATAGTATGTGTGTGTGTGTGGGGGGGGGTGTACGTGTTTTTGTGACATGTAAGGACACAAATCTATAATGACATGGGTATGACACAGGTATTACAAAAAGGAGGTGAAATGAGGACATTGCTGATGTCCTTGTAAAGCTTGTAAATCACAGAATTAGTGTTTTCAGAGAGTAAAGCTGCATACAGTCTCCTGTGATGGTTGTGTTTAGGGGTGGGGTGGGGTGAGGGCAATACGATATACAGTATGGACAGTATAAAATAAATGCAAACCTATGTAATGTCCACACTATGTCCGTGCGATGTGTGTAAGAATGTTATGTGTGAGTGTTATGTGTGTGTGTACCTTTGCGCAGGTTGATGAGTGGTTGTAAGATTCCCCTGCGGAAGGCAGCGCTGGGGTCCTGCACACAGGAGCGCAGACTCAGCACACTCTGCAGATGCGTCTCCTTCAGCAGCAGATCTCTGTACGCCGTCAGCTGATGAGCTCGACACAGCAGAGCAGACACACTGTGCACAAACTCCGGCACCAGACATGTGTAGGTGTTATCAGCCTGACAGTAGTGATACGCCACCACCTGCACACACACAGCAACAAAACGTATCATCTACATTGGTATTTCTGCCTTCCTGTGAACATTTTATTTCTATTATTTTTCCCCAAGTGATGTTTAACAGAGGGGGCGGCACGGTGGCTCATTGGTTAGCACTGTGGCCTCAAAGCAAGAAGGTTGCTGGTTCAAGTCCCGGCTGGGCCAGGTGGCATTTCTGTGTGGAGTTCGCATGTTCTCCCTGGGTTGCGTTATTTGGCAGGATAGGGTAATAAGGCAAGTAATTGTATGAGTGGGTTGTTCTGTAGACTATCCAAAACAAATATTTCTTAAAATGGCTAATAATATTGACCTTAAAATGGTTTTATTTAACCCTTAAAGACCGAGACAGCCGCCCGCGGCTAAAAATAAGTATTGCTCTTAAATGTTTAATAACTTTTGATCCGCTGATCCGATTCATACAATTCAAAGATTGGCATAAAGGAGAGAATCTCAGCTTTCCAACGCTGTAACATAGTACATTCGCGGACTTTCAGAGGCTCCGGAATCAGTGCGGTTACGTCATCAAAATTTGACAATGCTGATTTGACAAAGAAACGCTCGTCACTGTGTCTCCGGACAAACCAGAAATGATACATTGATGCATTGTCCCTCCTCCATGCCCAGATTGGTTCAAACTCACAATCTCTCAACCAATAAGCATAGGTTTCGCTTTCTGGACCAACAATGAGCTTTTTGAACAACACGGAATGAGAGATAGGCATACATTTACGCGCGGCTAAATAAAACGCAAAAAAAAAGTTTTGCATGAAATAATTCTCATACTAAGTACTTTTGCATGCACATCTGCACATAAACATGACAAAACAGTGACACAGCAAAGACGAAGTGCTGCTCTTGCTTTTTTCAAAAGACGCAAATGAAGGTGCGGCTGTTTGTCTGCATTGCAGACAGCCATATCCAAATCCATAGACAATCATGTCCATGCTGGCACATAAAACCTAAGGATGGTCCATATTGAATCTAGTTTAGTTATGTAACTATTTATAGTATAGTAAATATTTATATCTATTTTTTTACTGAGGATTTGCACCATGTTTATTTGGACTTTGACGCATTATTTATTATTTTCTTATTTTTTTATTTGTTAATTGTAAGTGGTGTTGTTTATAGTAACTGAAAATATATTATTTGGAAAAAGTCAAAATTGCTTCACTGTTCTGTTATTTTGTAACATTTTTTTTTCTGTTTAGTTCATTCCCAAAACTTTTGGGCAAATACATTGTCAGTAAATAAATGCAATTTTTCCCCCATTGAAAAACGCCTTGGAATAACATTGAAATAAATTGCTATAACTTGCTCAGGGAATGGTGGATGTAGACAAAATTTATTTTGGAAGTATAAAACATCATAGCATGTATTTCTAAAGAAAGAAAAACAAACTTCATAAGGTTTTGTTTGTAACAACTAGAAAATGCCACTTTTTTAAAAATCGTTTCTGGAAAATTCTGGAATATTTTCTGTCTGTTCATATGTTTTTGGACCAAAAAATTTTTTAGACTGGACCTTTAAATGATACAGATTGAAACTTCAGGTTCTCCTGTTTAAAATGATATATGACACTTGAGGCTGACTGCTAAAATAAAAATAAAAACTGCTTTTAAAAAAATAATAATATAGGCCTATTAGGTGCCCACAAAATACCTCTAGGTCTTTAAGGGTTAAGAACTGCTCTAATTCTAGCCGGCACAAAACAAATAAGACTTTCTCCAGAAGAAAAAATATATATATTGGAAATACTGTGAAAAATTCCTGAATCTGTTCAACATCATTTGGGAAATATTTGAAGTACATATTGCATGCATTTCTCAATCTCATTAAACACTATTTCGACCATAACAACATTCAACAACGCAGTACAAATGTGGTTAAAATATACCATGCATGCTCTTCAAAATGTTTAAATCATTCAGAAAAGGAGATAATAGTCTTTCATATAAACACATCAGCTGGTTATGTAGTTGATTGATCCAAGCAAGTCTAAAATCTAGAAAAAAGTCTTATGGTAGTTGTCAGAAATAAAATAAAAATAAACTAATTAAATTAAATAAATGAAATTAAAATAAAGAAAGATTTGTGTTTGAACTTTGAGTGCTATGGTAGTTGTCAGTAATAATAAAATAAAATGAAATAAAATGAATTAAAATAAAATAAATATTAAATTAAATTAAATTAAAATAAATTAAAGATAGATTTTTGTGAACTGAGTGCTGTGGTAGTTGTCAGTAATAAAATAAAAGAATAAAATAAAATAAAAATAAAATAAAATAAAATTTATGAAATGAATACAACTAAAAACTCGTTTTTATGAACTTTGAGTGCTATGGTTGTTGTTAAAAATAAAATAAAATAAAATAAATAAATAAATAAAATTAAAAACGGATTTTTGTGAACTTTGAGTGCTATGGTAGTTGTCAAAATTAAAATAAAATAAAATAAAGTAAAATAAAATAAAATAAATTAGAAAATTAAATTAAGACAGATTTGCTATAGTAGTTGTCAGTACTAATATAATATAAAATAAATTAAATTAAAGATGGATTTTTGTGAAATTTGAGTGCTATGGTGGTTGTCAGTAATAAAATAAAATAAAATAAATAAAATAAATTAAATTAAAACAGATTTGCTTTGCTTTGCTTTGTTTTTGAAACTTTAATTTAGATTGTTCAGTGTGCAGAAGTAAAGCTCCTCACAGTGCAGCATGTGGTCTCTGAGCCCCTCAATCCATGCTGATTTAACACTCAAACTCAATCTCATGCCACTGTTTGCTCTTGATAAATAATGCAGTAAACAAATAAACCTCTCAGCCTCTTACAGCCACATCATTCTGAACAATCACTGCCATTCTCTACAGCCAATCAGAACGCAGCTATGAAGGAGAACAAAATGAGGTGAAACAGATATGGACAGAGATCATGACATGAGGAAAATCTGACTTTATAGATAACATTACACTTATAATATATAATAACATATAATTTGTAGTTTTTTGTATGTAAAGGCATGTTAAATACACAAAGACAAGTTATATGGTCGCCCGCTAAAGCTAAGCAGGGCTGTGCCTGGTCAGTAGCTGGATGGGAGACCACATTGGAAAACTTGGTTACTGTTGGAATTGGTGTAAGACCAACAAGAGGGGCTCAACCTGCTGTCTGTCTGGGTCCCAATGTGCCAGTATATTTAAGGGGACCGAGGTCCCAACTCTCTGTGGTCATTAAAAATCCTAGGATGTGAAAAAGGATGTTTAACCCCATCCTGGCCAAATTTGCCCACTGGCCTCTGTGCATCATGGCCTTCTAACCATCCCTATATCATAATTGGCTTCATCACTCTTCTCCACCAATCAGCTGGTGTGTGGTGTACAGCCTGGCGCAATATGGCTGCAGTCGAGTCAGGTGGATGCTGCACACTGGTGGTGGATGAGGAGATTCCCCCCAATGTGTAAAGCTCTTTGAGTGTCCATAAAATCGCTATATAAATGTAAGGAATTATTATTATAATTATTATTATTATTTTACCATGCTTACAAATGTTTACTAACTTGGAGTGTAGACAGATTTAACTACAAAAGCACACAGCTCTGAGTTCATGAATTGAGGGAATATTACTTAATTAAAAAAACAAAATAAAAAAGTAAAATTTAATTAAATAAAACAAAATTAAATTAGATTTAATTAAATTTATTAGATAAAAAATAAATAAAGACGGAGAGTTATGATAGTTGTTAGTAAAAAATAAATCAATAAAATAAATAAATTTGTGTGTGTGTGTGTGTGTGTGTGGTATATATATATATATATATATATATATATATATAAAGGGTGTAACGATACGTGTATTCGTATTGAACCGTTCGGTCCGAGACTTTCGGTTCAGTACGCATTGCAAACCGAACGATTCAGACTAATATCTAAAAAGATAAAAGAGAAGAAGTAAAAAAAAGCCAAAAAAGAACTGTACCAAACCGTACCGTACCACTCAGTGGAAACGGGCCATTAGGGAGATATCTCTGTAGACTGATGGCATTTCATGCTGTTCAGCCTTATAATCTTAAACTGTCAGCAAAAGCAGCTGTTTTGTCATCACTTTAGACATTACGCTAGAGAATCATTCAATCACTAGCTCTAAAGTGACATTGGTGAATTAGTAACGGTTTCTGCTGTTCTGCTGGTCAGCTGCAGATGTGAATGAATGGCAGAAGAAAATAGTTCCTCATTCAAAAGAGTTTTGAGACTGTGTTTGATTTTCTTTTTTATATTCAAGATTATGCCATTGAACTGCTGTATAAAAGCAATATCACATGAGTAGCAGTGGAATATGGCTGTATATCAGCACTGGTGGGACACTAAGGCACCTGGCCTGCAGCCTACCGATATACATGTGCTTTTGATATTGCTCATTTAAATAATTATATAATTTATTATAATATAATTATGAATTATTCATTCATTCAGTTTCTTTTCAGCTTAGTCCCTTTATTAACCTAGGGTCGCCACAGCGGAATGAGCCGCCAACTTTTCCAGCATTTGTTTTACACAGCGGATGCCCTTCCACCCATCACTAGGAAACACCCATACACTCCCATTCACACACAGAAATGGCAACTGACCCAGCCAAGGCTCGAACACAGAGACTCTGTGAGGTGATCGTGCTACCCACTGTGCCACCGTGACACCAATTATAAATGATTAACATCTGAAAATTTATACATTTTTCCTAAAAATCATATGATAAAATATTTAATACAATAAAATATAATATAATAAAATGAATTAAATAACACAACATAATAAAATAATATAAAATATATTCATTAATTCATTTATTTTCTTTTCGGCTTAGTCCCTTTATTAATCTAGGGTCGCCACAGCGGAATGAACCGCCAACTTATCCAGCACGTTTTATGCAGCTGATACCCTTCCAGCCGCAACCCATCTCTAGGAAACATCCACACACACACACACACA